GGGTTACAAATCTTACCCAAAACCCTCAAATAAGACCAAAAGATCTCTCAAATAGACTCCAACAATAGAAGCCCTCAAATCTCCCTTTGCTCAGCTCAAAATCGCCCAAACTCTAACCCTAAAAACGAGTTTAGGGTATTTATACAACTCCCAAGCGAAACGGGTCTGGAAACCTGAACCAACTGAAACCCGCTTCGTCGGTCGACCGGGTCGGTCGACCGCGATCAATTCCGGTCGACCGACCCGGTCGACCGACCACCTCCAGCAGAACCCCGAAAGAATCCAGAGAGCCGTCGGTCGACCGGGCCGGTCGACCGACCTCCTTGTGCACGAATCCGGTCGACCGGACCGGTCGACCGCCACCTGTTTTTCCTGATTCTGCTGCTGATGCTGAAATTCCTTCAATTCTCCACCTCGGCGAATGTTTCCACCAAAACTGAGCCGACACCAAACCATCCAATAGTTCCTCAACAGGTCCAGGAACAATACTCGAGCTGAAACACGATCTCCCCCAATCTTGATCAACTGATCAAACCGGCTGCATCTAAAGACTGCCTACGTATCCTCTTGCCCAAGGAATCAAGCCGAACGTAGTTCATCCAAATGGCCGCCAACGACCTCAACAACGAAGAATATTCAATAAGCTTAAACAATGACCAAACTTCACACCTGGTACGACTTTGGTCAACATATCAGCAGGATTGTCCTTAGTGTGGACCTTCTCCAACGTGACATCACCATCATCCAATACGTCACGTACAAAATGAAATCTGACATCAATGTGCTTCGTGCGAGCATGGTAGACTTGGTTCTTCGCCAAATAGATAGCTGACATACTATCACAATGTACCTGAATGGTCTCCTGTGCAATCCCCAAATCATCCAACAAGCCATGTAGCCACAAAGCCTCCTTCACTGCTTCAGTCACCGCCATATATTCCGCCTCCGTAGTATAAAGCGCCACTGTAGACTGAAGAGTGCATCGCCAACACACCGGTGCACTAGCCAATGTAAAAACATAACCTGTAGTGGACCGACGCTTATCAAGATCTCCAGCATAGTCAGAATCCACGTAGCCAACACAATCCTGCCCTGTCTCATCATTCTTCGCAAATATCAACCCAACATCCACGGTACCCTTAATATACCGTAGAATCCACTTCACAGCCTCCCAATGCCCCTTCCCGGGGTTGTGCATGTACCTAGATACCATGCTCACAGCCTGTGACAAATCTGGCCTCGTACACACCATAGCATACATCAAGCTACCCACTGCGCTGGCGTATGGAACCTTGGACATGTAGTCCCTATCCTCCACTGAAACTGGTGACATCAAAGCTGAAAGCTTAAAGTGGGGAGCTAATGGAGTACTCACCACCTTGGTATTACCCTCAAAGCTGAATTTCTTCAGCATCTTCTGCAAGTAACTCTTCTGTGTAAGCTTCAATCTCCCCTTCACCCTGTCTCGCTCAATCTCCATACCAAGTATCTTCTTAGCCTCTCCCAGATCCTTCATCTCAAACTCAGATGACAACTCTTTTTTCAGTTTCCCAATAGCTGAAGTGTTCCTGGAAGCTATGAGCATATCATCAACATACAATAACAAATAAATATGCTCACCATCCTGTAGCTTGCGCATATAAACACACGGGTCATAAGGGCTCCTCGTGTATCCTCGGCCAATCATAAAGCTATCAAATCTCTTATACCACTGTCAACATAAAATAACAAATAAATATGCTCACCATCCTGTAGCTTGCGCATATAAACACACGGGTCATAAGGGCTCCTCGTGTATCCTCGGCCAATCATAAAGCTATCAAATCTCTTATACCACTGTCGCGGTGATTGCTTCAGTCCATACAGAGATTTTCTCAATTTGCACACCAAATCTTCTCTTCCTGCAGCTTTAAACCCCATTGGTTGTGTCATGTAGATCTCCTCATCTAAATCTCCATGTAGAAAGGCCGTCTTCACGTCCATTTGGACCAAATCTAAGTCCAGTTGTGCCACCAATGCCAATAGTATCCGAATAGATGAATGCTTCACAACGGGTGAGAACACCTCGTTGTAATCAACACCCTCAAGCTGTGCATATCCCTTGGCAACCAATCTGGCCTTGAATCGAATGTCCCCAATAGAAGATCCCTCTTTCTTAGCATACACCCACTTGCAACCAATAGCTTTCTTACCCTTCGGTAGCTTTGCAAGTTTCCAAGTGTCGTTCTTCTGAAGAGATTGCATCTCCTCCTCCATAGCATTCCTCCACCTAATGGAATCAGGGCTGGACTCTGCCTCCCTGAATGTGGCAGGAATCAAATCATCAACGACCTCCACCGATAAAGCATATGCCACCATGACATCATCATATCTAGCTGGCCGACGAATCTCTCTCCTCGGTCTGTCTGCTGCAATGGACCCCTGAGCATGACCCTGCTCCTGAGCCTCACCATC